TTATACATCGTAATAGCTTGGAAAATCCGCCCAAATAAAAAGAGCCAATCAGGGATTCAGCTAGCCCACGTGGGATAAATCAACGTCACCACTGTGCAGTACGTGAAAATCCGCGCGAATAAAGAGCCAATCAGGGATTAGAGCTAGCCCACGCGAGAAAGATCAATGTCACTTTGTTGAACGCTGAACATCCGCGCGAAAAAAGCAAAAAAGAAACTAAAAACAGAGTTAACCCGCTTGAGATCAATCAAAAGGCCTTAGTTTTAGCCTGTTAAATAGAAAAAAATTGTAAACTAGACACATTTTCGTTGTTTTTCCCCGGATTTCAAATCAGTGATGTACAGGGATGGAAGCCCTTGCAATGCAGCCAGCCAATCAGAGACGCTTCACAGACGCGGGCTCCAAGGTAAATCCTGGCGGCTGGCGCTGTTTCCAAACTTTTGACAAACAACTTGCGAGGCGTTGAGAAACGTTCTCGCAATTTGCCTTCTTTTCCAGCTTATTTACGGGGAAGAAAATCATTCAGCGTCATTTTGAGGATTCCTGAAGAGAATAGTCAAAAGAGAGTTGAAATGGGGTCAGTGCTTTCTTTTTATTTAAGCTTATAATTGAATTTTCGGTTAGTGTACTAAATACATGTTTCACATGTTTCGAGTTTACATGTAACATCAACTTATGTCGACGACATACGCCATTGTGTAAATACTTTTATTCCCAACTTTTCATAAAACAATTATTGGTTTTCCATTAATTTAAGTTGAATTCTTGTTTGCAGGAATTGTCCGTGGAAAATGAAGGAATTCTGCGCCAAGAAAGTTCGCTTCAAGCGAAGCACAAGGCAGATTGCAAAACATGGCACACTCGCCTTTCTTCTTCAAACCGCGAAAATATTGAGGTAAGCCTTGTTTTACCCTTAAACTGTAAATGAAAAACAACGAGGCAGTTCTTCATTGTCATTTATAAGTGTTTCGCAAATTGAATCACGGCTTTTATTTGTCGGTTTTTCTTTCCAAAATGAATGCAAGGATTGACACACGAGTGTCGACAGCGACTTCGCCAAGACTTCTTGTGAGAATTCTATAGCTAATAAATATAGTTTACAAATGTCACTTATCACAAAATAGCGTTAAGTTACTTAAAAGTTCTTATTTCACTGATTCTTTTTTTTTCGGAATGAAATTTTACGAAGAGTTAGCGAAATGCAACGGTTTATAGAGTTTGGCGGGAAAACGTTTTCGGAATATTTTTACTACAAGCAAACAAAAAACTTTATTTCTGGGCGCAAACGTTTCGTTGAAAGGTGACCTATCTACTGAATAAAATGATTATTATTTGTCTTGAAAAATTACTTTAATTATTTTTACAATTTGAATCAGCGACTGAAACGTTACGCTGAAAGTTCGAAAACGATGTCAAATAATTTCCGTAATTTTCTGAAATAATCGCGTCTTAAAACTCGCGATATCTGGAAAAATATTTTGTAGGTCAAATGTAAGGGATGCAGACAAATCAAGGAATCCGCTCTTAGTTTTCCATACATTTATTTTTATCTGTAAATTTTACCGCGGACTTTGACAACTCATCAACACGTGACTGCGCGCTTCCAGGTACACAATCTTCTGAAAGACATCAGTTTATACATATTTTGAATAATTCAAAAATCACATTTTACGGAAATTATTTGACATCGGATTCCGTTTTCTGTTCTTTTGAGTTGTATTGATCAATAATTCTCATGCAAACACTATAATTCGCGCCATGATTGTTTCATTTAAAAGAGGGCGCATTTTTTACTCGTTAAAAAGTCTATTCATACGAGAGCTAAATTGTTACTAAATTATACATTAATGTTTAAAACCCAAGCCAAGATAGCTGTTTCTATTCCAGAAAACTTTGCAGAACCTCTAGTGATAGGTAGTTGATGTTATATTCTAGGGTGTTGTGAATGCTCATGCTGTTACTATGACAACCATTGTATATGTCCTGATTTAGTTTTTGTTCTTCATCTTATCAGACCATCTTGGCACTGTTCAGTCCTCCTCAACCAAGGATCCACTTCAGCCTAAACTTGTCCAGCTTCCATCCTGACCAACCTGATGCCCATCAGAATGCTCAGCTTCGCCCAAGACTCTGATGTCCTGATGAAAGATCGTGGTGGTGGTTAGTCGTTCATTGTGGGGTGGGAGGGGTGGGTAAAATGATAAAGCTCTGGATGAACCTTACAAAGCATACAAGCATACACTTGCGGCCAGAAGTCTGTGCACTTCTGATGATGCGGCTTAACGTAATGTAAATAATTTAGTTAGGTTTGCTAATGGGTCCATGGGATTTGTATGGTTCCTCCCCCTAGGTTTTTTCCATTTGGGTTTCTTTTCAGGTTATTCGGCCAGCGTTCGGACTTTGACTGTATTTGGACTTCAATCCGGCTTTTTTGTATTCATTCCGGCTTGATTTTTACTTCACTTCGACTTCATTTTATCTTCAATCCGGCTTCATTTTGACTTCACTCCGGCTTCAGTTTGACTTCATCTTGGAGACATCCGTCATCATGTTTGCGTTTCAAATGCTTGCTTAGTTGCGCCTAGGTCAATTGATCAATATTACATTTCACTTGACAGTCTATGTACTGACAAGTGAAATTCTTTCAGTAAGGTTCAACCAGACATTATAGTACTAACTTGTATCTATGGAAACTAGAAGCTCAAGGCCATTCAACTTGTTGGAAGGAGACCAGTTTTGGCAACTCCTTGCAAGTTTAATGGTTTCTTTCTAGTTCAGGTAATTCAGACAGTTAAGTTCAAGCTTGTAGATCATAGATCATTTGTCAGGACTCTAAGTACTTACTTACCCTAATGCATTTTATTTTTGCGAGGTTTAGAATTTTGTGAAAAGCTTCCAAAATGGGACAGTGAAAATTTTGTGAGAATTTCTTTTTGGAAATATGGAAAATTCATGCTGATAATATTTAAGCATTTAATTTGTTGTCAGGAAATTAACGACAGTAAGACCCTCGCAAAATTAAAATGTGTTAGGGGTAGGGGATCAAGGGACAATGCACACACTCAACTTATAAAAAATTATTGTAAGCATAGGTAGCCTTCGAGACAAACCTACGAGCATCATCCAACCAACCTGAAGAGGATCATAGGTAGTCAGTCAGTTAGTAAAGATAGTCCAGATTAAGTGGGGAGGTTTTTCTCACTATGGCAGGACTTTTTTTAAATTTTCAAAATTAAAAAAAAATGTTGCCTTGTGAGAGGAATCTCTTTAACGGAGACCTACATTGCACCTTGTGGGCCTTCATAGCTGAGACCGTCTACAAATTGTAGGCGTAGGTTGACTTCACATTGGAAACAACATATGGAGCCTGGTAACAAGACCACTAAAGAATGGTGATGGCCAGAAGACTGACCCAGCCAAGAAGATCACAAAAGAAGATCACAGAAGAAGATCACAGAAGAAGATCACAGAAGAAGATCACAGAAGAAGATCACAGAAGAAGATCACAGAAGAAGATCACAGAAGAAGATCACATGATTACGTAGTTAGTGTAGTTAGTGTAAGTAGCTTAGAAGCTGCCAATGTTGCCATGAAAGAAGATGAATCGATGACTGGAACGAAGATGAATTACTAAACAATAGGTTATTATAATATTAACACAATAGGTTGTTTACACTATGATGTCATTTGATTACGACAACTAGAGTTCACTTTGGTTTGTTTTGAAATATTGACAAATTAAAATTATCACAAGAGAAAGAAAAACTTTAGCATTCTGTATGCATGTATGTTATCATGACATCATAATGAAAATAACTTGTTGCTAGGATACTTAGGAAGATAAGACCCAGGTATATAGTGTAAATTATAAATAGTTCAGTACAGGAAGAACCAAACTGCTTTGAATGGAGACAGTGGAACACCTGCACAAAGATGGCAAAGTACATGAATGAATGGCAAAGGATTTATTCTGGTCTTGTGTGCCTACAGCGTGGAGGTTGTGATGATTTCAATGTGTTGCCATTGAGTATTCAAGATATGCAACAGAATGCTTAAGATGAAAGAAACACTAAGTTTACCCACCCACAACCCTTTGGATGCCAGGTGGCACATAAGATAATGACAAGGTCCAGGGCTCCACTATTGTTGGTCTTTTGCAAGTCACAAGGCTTGCTACAAATTAAGTTTTAGAGCTTGTAATTCAGCCTCTGCAGTCGTCCTACTGGTGGACTTGGAACAGCCTCTTCCCAGCTGTTCCCTTCCCTGTTGAGCACACAACCAATCCAGTGTCATCTTCTTGTTTGAAGTTCTATTAAAGTCCTGTCTGTTTGAAGAGCTCATTGTGGGATATTTAAGGCATGGTGTATGAAAGCCTTGTAGCTTCTTTGGATCATGCACAATCATTCTCCACCATGTTTGGAGTAGTTTTGGAGACTACTTAAGACTACTACTCAGATGTATTCTGTGCAACATCTTCCCTATTTTAAATCAGTTGCTTCTTCAGTGGAAGAAGACCAGGAAGACCTGGTGCCAGATCAACTGGCTTGCCCAAGACCTGACTGACTGCCCCCCCCCCCCCCCTCCTTTTTAGCACCTCTGGATCCGCAAAGGCCTTATGCTCCAGTGGGAGCTAAAAGGACCAATCACTGCCAGACCAAGGATAACAAATAATCATGACTCCCTTGCTCCAGTCATTTGGTACCCTTCTTCATCCCACACTTTATAGTTGTAAAAGAGTGAGAGTAATATCCCTCACTATCTCCCACCCTGCAATCCAATGGTTTGGAGTAGCCAAGTGGCTCATCAGCATCAGAGTTTAACTCCAGTTTCTGAAGAATGAAGAGATCTAGCAGTATTGCTACTCCCCCTGGACAGAATGCTAGTCCATTTCAGGTAACACCAGGTTGCCCTAACATTTTGTTGGTGCCTATTTATACTCCTGGGTGGAGAGATTGAGGCACGCTGACTGTCACAGTAAAGTGTCTTGCCCAACATCACAACAACATCAGCCAGAGCTCAAACCCAGACCTCTCAATTGAGAGTCCAGTGCACTAAACATTAGGCTACTGTGCCTCCCAAGCTCAGTGGGTCACACTTAACAACTTACAGCATTAAGCTGATGACCTGGTCCCGGTGCTTTGCCATTCTAAAGACCATTAATGGCTTCCATGATCTCTCATTTGCATGCTCCTCTACAGCCTCCTTGTTGAGAACCTCCTGAAAGAGTTCTGTTTAAACCACCCCCTGTTCCTTCTCAGTTGATAGTAGACACCTTGCTTGTCACTAATAGATGTCTGTGCTTTCTGCCAGCATCCACTCTACCTTGCTCGTGATGCTTGGCAGGAGCCTCAGCTCTCTTTGTTGCAAGGTTCTCAACAAATTTTGTCATACTTGTACTCTTGTTCATTTCACTTGAACATTGAAGATACAGTGGCTCTTTGAAAAGAGGAAGTATACTAGACAACTGATGAAGTTCATTTAAACCTGAAAGGTACCAGGTCGTGACCTACCATAATGTTTGCACAAAGAAGAAAACCCATAAAGATGGATAAGGATAAGGATGGTTGCGTGGGCACACCTGGGAATACTATCACAGAGGGGAACAAAGTAAAAGACAAGCTGATAGAAGCCTGGTCATGTTCCGTAGTTCTACAAGGAACCAATGATTCAGCAGAACATTAACACAAAAAGCATCTATAAGGTGTCTGTATGTAACTTTGGTTTGACCATAACAGTGACAAGGAGACGGTCACTTCATCCATACACCTGCTCCCCTTCTCACTTACAAGAAGATGATGAATTTCAGTCTTACCTCAACTGTAAGTCAGGGAATTCCAGGAAATCTTGTGTATGTCAATCCCTGTGTGGAAACAAGAAGAATGAAGTAGACTCTACTACTCTGGCTTACAGACATCTGTCTAAAATGTAGCCAATGTAAATTATTAGTTGTCAAAATGTTACTGTTGATCAGTACTTAGAAATTTGGTATAAATGGTATACGTAGCTAACACCTGTTGCTCTGAGAAATTGTTTACATGTGCCAGGAATGAATACTACTGATGTCTCATTGGCTGATTCCCACCTTGCAAGCATTCCTCTGGCCTTTTATAAACAGCACCCTTGTGTGACTCTGTGGTACTCATATTCCAGCTCTCATTACCACTTGAGCACAATTTTTAAACAAGCGATAAAGGAAGTTAGATAAGTTTCCAAAACTGACAAACACATTTCTTCCCAGACGTTGGATGACCAATGATGACAAACACTTTCACTGCTCATGCAAGCCTGTGAAGGCTCTGTGGCCCCTTAGCAACCAATAAGTTAAAGGTTTCCTGTTGCTTCTGTGAGACTCATTTGTATGAGTGAGGTTGTCGGCCTCATACTCAATCCCTGACCTGGAGGACCGCGAGGAGACTTGCTTTAATGAGAACACTCTCCCAATGGCTTGTCTAGCAAAATTTGAACCTGTATGGCATAAAATACCCAACGACCAAAGGTCAATGGAACCATCAAGCCACGCAAACCATCCCACCACATCAAGATAACAGTTTTGAATATTTCTAGGAAGAAATAGAAAAATACAGATAGAGGAAGATATAGTATAATAGCATTCCTTCTGGCATCTATTCAACGGGATCATCAAGCATTACAAGCCTTCCCATGATGTCAAGATAGCGGTCTCAATTTGGATAGACATGACTGAAGATGAGAAGAAGAGAACATGCATAGGCGACGAAGGGCTACTTGGAACCCTGGACAAGGGTGTGACCTTAGTGCTTCAATATCTGCATTTGGTTGCTCCACTTGTATGCTTGTGATGTCATTGCACCTTGGCATTGATCTGGCAACGCTTGCTGAAGAAAGCAAACAACATGCTGGGCCAAAAGACCAAGAACATCCTTGGGCCATGGTTATTTCTACAACCTGGCATGGGGTAAGAAAATTTTTAAAAAGATATTATCTTTTTAAAAATTTGAGTAGAATACATCAAGTGATATTATTACATACAGTTACTTTACTTAAGCTTTTGGTTCGGCATTCAGTTCCGGCTTTCAATTCGATTTTCAATTCAGCTTTCGATTTTAAACTTTTTTTCAGTCAGTACACATTCCGGCTACTGACACATGAAGGCTTGGTATCGACATTGCCTCGTTAGCAAGCCAAAGATGACCAATGCGAATTGTCTGGGGGCCCTGAGTGTTCCACATGAAGTGTCAAGTTTACCGACACAGGGACACTCTTGGCTTTCTCTTGACACCAAATTATTTGTATTAAGGCGCGCATAGGCTCATGTTTAATTTAGGTCCTGTAGATTTTTGCATTGTAAAAGTTCTGTTATTGTAAAAACATAGTAGTAGTAGCTCATAGACACCACAAGAGGGAGCAAGAGGAATAGAGAAGACAGCAAGAAATCAAGGATGGAGTGAAAATTACTACTAAATAATATTATTATCTTGCTTATAATAAAAAAAATAAAAAAATATAATATTACAACTTATATATAATAAAACTAAAAATGGCGTCAGTGTGGTTTTTTAAATAGTTTCTAAGATGTTATGTTCTAAACAATATTAACTAAATACAAATATTTCATTTCAGGAACATTGGTCCTAGAAAAAGGGTCAATGAGGTCACTTTCGATTCAGTCACTACATACGGCAATGCACATTTGCTCAAATTTTAGCTTCAGGTCATTACTTTCAACGAAATCAAAAAATATCGGCAATGAATTGAAAACTAATAACACAATTTTCTTTCAGGAACATTTAATGGCACTCGACTTCCTTTTTGCTAACTTTTTAAAGCTCTCTTTTGTTTTGCAGTTGTTTTCTCCTACGAGGTGTCACATGTTGTCATGTTTTGGTTTGAAAAGCAACAGGTTAAACTATTCAATTTTCAAATCGTCTGATTTCTGTAGGTTTGTGTTGGCGCTGGTCAATGACCGGTCGTGACGGTAAGCCACACACATTAAACTATTCTCAGTTCCAGTTATTAACTTGTAATGTGTTTTTAGTTCCTAGTAGAGTGCATCCCACACTATGATGCCAAATCATCTCGTGAAAACCCCAGACTACAAAGCTAACAGTGCAGACAGAGAAAGTGTGGTTCAACCACTGACGGCAACAAGAGGAAAGAGTTGGACAGTCAGCCTTGACCCTAGCAACCAATGGTCCCAAACTACTGCAACAACATACATGTATTGACATCATTATCTTGATGTACCTCCAAATTCTCATATCTTTGTTAGTATAGCAATCAGTATTGAGAAGCTTGAGTCTAGGAGATATTGTCCTGATGCATCACCAAATTCTCAGAACTTAATACAGATTACTTCATGTAAATGGTTGGTGAGTGCGTATAATTTTTATTCATGAGTTGTGAAAATAAGTGAATAAAATTGTACAAGCAAACCAACCATGAACTAATTTGTTTATATTAACAGTACATGGCAATCATTACAGAGAGTAAGAAATCAATTTTCTCTCTTTGGAATTAATAACAGGCTTTTATTCTTTTTAAAAGTTACTAATAATTGTGTCCATGCATCGTGAGAAGCTTTGTGTTCAGATGAATTGACAGGATGTTCCAGCCACATTTGAACTTCAGTGACAGCTGAGAAGACTCGATGATGTCAACTTTCCTTGTGGTGTTCAACTGACGTCATTGCTCCCAATGTACCAGGAGATGAGGATTGGGTATCATAACAGATGACAGCATCCACCTGAGAGCCAGGATTGGTGATCATAACAGATAACGGCATCCGCCAGAGAGAGGAAGATGATGACCTAGAGAAGTGCTCCATTGCAGTGTTCCTAACCAGGAACCCTTTATAAGAGTTGTCTTCTACAAGAGGTAGGGGATTGTGATGCATTGATTTTGATTTCTGTATGTGGTACTGTGTCAGTAGTGAATAGTCTATACATTTACAGTCTGTTATTACTGTCTGGTTACGGATTTTAGAAGTTGCTCTGTTTCAAGCTTTATATGAACTGGCAAATTATGTGGAACAGCAATATTATTATTGTGAATAATATTATCTATTAGTTTAAAATATACCATACATGGATAGATCATCTTCAAAGAGTATATTGTTTGAGCAAATATTTTGAGGAGGTACAATAACGGCTATGACTTCAAACTACACTGGACATGTCAAAAAATATATTTATGGAAGAATAAATTATTATTGTATGGATTATAGCATTGTGCGCAAAGGCTTATAGGCAACCTCGTCCCAGAGTCTTCTCCGCTTTCAAGATGGTGGGTGGGCGCGAAGAAGACCCTGGCGAAGAGCAGGTCACGTGTCTCCAAAAATATTGGAGATTTTGATTGTTTCAAAATGGCGGCGGGCTCACGATTGGCTAATTTTGTGGTCATGTGACCTGCTCTTCGCCAGGGTCTTCTTCGCACCCACCCGCCATTTTGAAAGCGAAGATGGCCCTGGGGACGAGGTTGGCTTATAGGAAACAAAGGGACAAGCAACAGAGCATACAAATGTTACATGTTTTTGGTGACATGTTATTGAATAATGATTTTCATCTAAATTTGTTTCAGGATTTAGCTGTTGGCACGTCAGTTTGGACTCAGTCATTCCCAGGTGGAAATCGTATCAAGATTTACAACTCTTTTAAGATATCCTATGAGATCTTATAAGAATCTTATAAGAACTTCAAAGAATCTCTAAGTTAATATAAGAATATTCTAGATCTTGTAAGAATCTTGAATAGTGTTATATTTTCTCAATAATTAATTTTATAAGATCTGTAAGAATCTTTCAAAAACCTAAAAGAATCTTACAAGATCTTATAAGAATTAATGCAAGACCTCATATTAAAGAATCTTTACAATAGTCCTGTAAGAACGTGGAAGAATTTTGTAAGATCTTACAAAAACTAGTTGTAAGAATCTTCCAAAATCTTGTACATATCTTATAAGAACTTGTAAGAGTCTTTATATGACAGAAGAAAATCTTTGAAAGACCTTGCAAGAATCTTATAAGAACTTGTAATATTTTGCAAGAATCTTGTAAGATTCTTACAAGATCTTGTAAGAACTTTTAAGATCTTAAGAAG